GCTTAGCAAATAAGCCGGTATTTTGTGTCTGGGACCTGTCAGAGACAATCTCCGTCTCGTGGAGGGAGGGGGGGGGAGGGGTCTCTGTGTGCAATCGCCGCTGGCGGACGGCTCGGTCTGCTCGGAGACCCGTCAGGTGGGGGAGGGAGGGGGGGGGGGGCTCTGGATGGCGGCTGGCGGACCCACCGCCGGCGGGGTGTCACCACGCGTCACCGGGCGCACCCGCGTGGCTGCAGAATAGTGTTGTCGTGGGCAGCGCACGAATTTCACTGGTACTATTTCAATAAGCGGTTGAGAGCTGTGACGCGTAGTGAAGAGGTGGCAGATAACCACCGATGGGACTTGCGTGCTGAGAAAGAACCCAACGTTTCCTCTAGTACAAACAGGCCGTGACGCACCGTCGGCTATTTCTACCATTACTATGCGGCAGCGACCGAGCTGGGGTGGCCCCTGCCCGCCACCAGTTCCGTCAGTGACGCTGGCAGGATTGCCCTGGTTTGGGACCAGTGACTGCTGGCGCCGCACTGTCAAAAGTCCTACCTCGGCTCGCGTCCGCGCCTCCCCGCGCGTCAGCAGTTCGGGTGGGCCCGTCGCGTCAGCCCGACAGGCGTGACCGCCGCTGACAGGTCGGTCGGCCGCCGGGCCTGCAGCGACCAGTGCACACTGTGCACGTGCACAGCGCAGTACGCCGCGGTGCACCGCTGTATGTAAAGCGCCGGCGTCTCCGATCGCCTGCGTCGCCGCGGAACTGATCCTGCGGGGTATGCTGCGCCGGCGAGCGGCCTGGAGCGCCGGCGCAGCCTACCCGGCATCGGCCAGGGGTCGGCGGCGATTGGAATGTCCCTGGGCGCTCGCTGAAAGGAAATAATTCATCAGCGTTCTCATACCCGCCTTCGCACGCGACTTCATTAATTATTCCCGCCTATCATTAGAACGAGGGGAGAGCAAATTACGCTTGCGCTAATCTTGCATTTACATTTTCCGCTTGGGAGACAATAATACCGGCACGGGTCAGTCCATGGGTATCCAGTACCGTGACTGCCTGGCGCACAGCTGAGCGTCCAGCCGGCCCAGCTGGTACCATGCAAGATCCTCACCCCGCTGATGAGGCGCAACCGCCGGCTCGAAGCCCTGCGGCGCGTGGAGCGCGGCGCACGCCCGGGGCCCTCGGGTCCCGTAGTCGTGCCCAGGTGTGTGTGTGTGAGGGGGGGGGGGAGGAGGAGGGGACGGGGTAGGCGGCCGGCTGGCCGGCTGGACGTCCGCTGAGGCCCGCTCTCCCACTCCATAATGCATGCGGCGATCGATGGTGGTTGTGTTATTGAGCCGCGATCATGGGAGAACAGACAAGTGACGTCCGTGCGGAGAGGCCAATGGGGCCGGGGAGGGCCCCCGGGGAGGGGCCCCTTCCCCGGCGGGGGGGGGGGGCTCTGCCTGACGAACGCACGCGCCGGAGAGATGACGGCACGTCGGTGATGACGAGCGGCTTGTTCTGGACAAGGGAAACAACATATGTAGGAGAGCATGATGCCCACCGCTGCGCAGATATGAAACTTAACGAGCTTGTCTGTTGTTGGATTGGCTGTGACCCTCCGTTTGCCTTGGCATAGACGAAGCGCGGCTCACTGGACCGTGATTAGGGGCAGGATGGCGCAGACACCTCCACGTTTGGGATCTTGCTTTCCTGGCTTCATTACAGCAGGTAGACTACTGCCATTTGTCACCAACATTCTACGTCACAGAATTTTATTTCACTCCTTTAAGTAGCGAGATTGAACCAAACAAATGGCAAACAACAGAACAACTAAGCAAATGACAACTGCGCTTTTATGCCATGACTCCTTCATCTGGATTGCAAGCTCTGGAAATGGGCTCATATGCCGTGCATGTTAGCAAACGCTCATCAATCAGTGCTCAGCGAGCGTGCAGCGCTTTCTATGGTACGCGACGGCGTGCTCTTTCGGCTTACATGATGGTGGTGTCACAGCCCGCTACCGCCGTATGTGAAAGTGGAATAGGGATTAAGTGAGGCTCAAGACTTTGAGCGTTTTGATGCGATATTTACGAGCGTCATTCGCCGTTCGTAACGCAGTGAGTCGCTGCCACTCATAACCATTAAACCAGATGACGGTACGTGGACGTTGTGACCTCTGACCTGGGTCTACCGAAGACGGGCATTCCTGCTGGGTGAGTTCGCTTTGCTCCCCGAATTATACGGAATTTCTGGTCGTGGATTTAACGTCATGCATATGCCTGACGAGGAAGTCGTGTGCTTTCGCGGGGCTGTAAATCTATGCACACGCCACTTTCCGCTCCAGGTGGGGGCTAGCGCCAATGCCCCCGGTCTATATCGGCGCCCATGGCCCAGTTCTGCAATGCTGATCCATCTACCAAACGACTCAGTCCGATTCAGGTCTGCAGTGAAAAATCACGACACATTTTCGGCCCTGCTTCGGCGGCCATGATGAATGACCTGCACACGGGCCGCCGCGCATGCACCATTGATAGCTTGGCCGGCGGGCAGTTAGCGGCGAATGGAGCATTGAAACTAACCAGCCCGGCCAAGCGCCCGCCAGACCCTATGGGACAAACGCGACCCTGGTTTGCAGTAACAATGACCATTATTCGCGCGGTCCACTGGCCGGCCAAGATTAATGCCGCCGCGTTGCCATCGATTGCCAGGCTCTGTATGTGATTGTGCAAGCGGCCGAGGTGTGTTGCTGCCGCCGCCGCCGCCGCCGCCGCCGCCGCCGCTGCCGCCGCCGCCGCCGCCGTCATCGCTGCCGTCGCCGACGGCGCATCGATTGCGGGCGGTGGGAGCGGCGGCCGCCGGACCGCCCCCATCACTGGGAGCGATGTGACCGCGTCACGGGACACGGTGCGTCACGTGACGTAACCGCGCGCGGCGGCTTCACAAATCTTGAGCAAATACCCTGATTGGTTAAGTGTGGCCGTCATGCGAGGGGACGAGCCGGACGGCGCACGGCGGGCCGCCCGCGGCGAAACGGGGCGGGGCGGCTGGCGCGTGATGGATTGCTCTCGCGTGTGCAGGCGCGCAGGCTGAGGATTAAAGTTAGCGCGAGGTGCTAGGTTGATGTTAAAAAGTGAACAATGTACACGTGCCAAAGCATGTACCTACCACCCCAGCTGTCACGCATCGTGTGTTGGATGGCCTCGCTGGGGTGCCCTTCTACACACTTGCCGCTATCGGTACTCGCGCGCCTACACCATGACGCACCGGTCATTAAGTGGCGGCGGGGTCGGATCGCGGTGTCCTGATGGCGCCGTCAAACGCAAGCAGAGCGAACAGTTTCTTTACAAATTTATTTAAGTTCTGAGGGAGCAACTGTTGGGACCAGTAGGTGCACAACCGGTTCACGTTCACACCTGAAACCAACTGCCCACTGTAGCTAAACTGACGGGCGAGCCAGAACACGCGTGAACAGATCTGAACAAGGCAGAGCTGACCAGAACAGGTCGGAGCGAAGCGCAAGAGCCGGCGTAGGTTGCTCTGGCTGTCGCTGCTGACCCGTCAAGTTTCGAGGAATCACCGCACCCTGTTACTAGCTGCGTATATATGATACGACGGGATCTGTTTCAAGTGATCATGTGTGCCGCGATCCGCTCTGACTGTCAGTTAAGGGTCCGCTGGTCCGCCTGTCAGTTAAGATGCGGTGGCCAGTGAGTTAAGTTGCGTGCCTGCGCACCGGTTGTGGTGCCACTGATCCCAACAGCTACTCTCTGTAGAATGGGTTTGTTTAGCTCGTGTTTGTCAGCGTCGCCAGATTTTTGCGACCCGCCCGAGTATCGGCAAGCGAGTGGTGTGTAGAAGTGCGCCTTCAGCAAAGCCATCCAACATACGGTGCGTGACGGCTGGAGTGGTTGGGACATGCGTGGGCGTAAATGCTTCCCGTCAAGGAAGACACAAACTGCGTCAATTCCCCAAAATGTCAGCCGGCGGTCCGGTCCGCTCCGGCACTCAGGGATCTAGCCCGCAGATACCCGCCGCGGTTCTTGCGAGTCAGATCAGGCCGGGTTAAAAAGCTACATTCGTAGGCCCGATATCCAACATCTGAAGACTGGCAGACGCGTCAATGGTGATGGCTTGTTGCGGTATTGGTTTGTGATGGTTTACGCTGTCGCGATTTCTAGTTTCGTGGTTTCTACTTACGCCAGATTTGGCTCAGGTTGTTACTCTCGATCATCACTCCCGTTATCTCAGCGTTTCACTTAATTCATCGTTTCTCTAGCAAGCTCTCACCAGGCCGCTTAAATCACCGAATTTCACCGCCTGACCGATCACGCTCAGGCGCTGCCTTTGACCCGAACTTGAACTTCGCGACGAGTCCCGATGCAGAGCTGACATGCACCGCCGCGCTGTTGGGTGCGCCGCTCACCGAGTGGGCGGAATGCTTCGCGCACGCGACCCCCATGAAAGCCGCGATGGCGGCGTGCATAATTCAGCCCGATATGCCCGGATTGGTGTCATTAATGCCGGCCGGTGCGATCGGTCATTTATTTATGGCGGCGGATCAGTGGCGGCAATCAGCGGGGCATCCTGCGCCGTAAATGCCCGCCCCCAGCTGATTTGTATTGGTCTTCAGCATAGCTGGTGGGGCTCAGGCGTCGGCGCCGGAGAGTGTGGCGCGTGCCCTCGTGACTGATGTGTGGTGGTCACTGGCTCGGCTGGTGCCCAGTGACTGCTGGGAACCCGGTGGCAGAACAGAGTGCGTGCATGATTTGTGGTGGAAACTTCCTGCCGTTGGTAATGTATCGTTCATCAGCTTCACTGTTGACACCAGATGCCATCATAGTGTCCTTTGGACGATCTACATTGTCTGGGGCTCGAACATGGGGAGGGGGGAGGGGGGGGGGGGGGGGGCAGGAATGCACCAAACGGCAGGCTCCGCTCTCCACGCGGTTTTTATGATGGACCGCGAGGCCGCGCGCGTGCTGATGTGGCGCCCAGTACATACCGGTGGAGCCTGCGTGCGCTGCCGCTGGTGGGTGGGGGCTACTGTGACCAGGCTTCCGGTGGCTGCCAGCAGCGGCCGGAAGAGGCCCGCTTCCGGTCTGGTCTGGGCGCTGCAGGCTTGCAACAAACCACCGCGTATGCTCGTTGATGGGTATGTGGCGAAGGCCATCGTGGTTTGGCACGGAATGGTTGCAAACAGATGTAAGAGAGTAAGAAAATGCTCCGCATTATGGGGGCCATATGCGGCCCTAACAATGAGGACGACACTATGGGACTTTTATTTTTGGACGCTTTAAGGACTTTCTCAGCGCCAGGTAGCGTTGAATGCTCTCTAGGGGGAGGACAGCGAGCTCCTAGGGCTCTTTGACTGTCATTTGAGGCCTGACTCCTGAATACGACCTCCAAATTGTGCACTTAAGTCGTGCGAGGATGGAGAGGGTCAGTTTGATCCCGAAATATTTCCTAAAATAATTTCCGAACAGTGTGACGTAGCCACGTCAAACTTTGTTTACATGTAGGCGATTTAATAGCCCGTCTTTTTGTGTGAGAAATTGTAGGTGCCCCTCAAGGTCGCTGACCTGTGAAAGGTAGAAGCCAGGCCATGGCTGCCAGGGAAAATGGCTGCAAGAAAATCGCTCAATGTGATACGGTACGGAGTGTTGGAGGAAGCCATGCGTTTCTATATTTTTAGACAAGAAGACGGTTTAGTGTGGGATTACGACCAATTGGGTTTACATTGGAATATGTGTGAAGATCAGACAGAGGTCAACAACTTATCGGTTTTATTGCAGAACTTTTTACTTTTTCACTTTTTAAGAGGTATTTTTTGACACTCATAGAATCTCAAGAGAATTTCACATTTACCCCAATCCACTGGCGTCACATTCAGCCGTTCACCTGGGCGCGTGTTGATGATCGGGCCCCAGGGGCCGGACTTCCCCTCTGGACCTAAGGCGGCGGGGCACGTTCCCCCTGTGCCCTCTCCTGCCTTACGCCACTGGGAGGTATCATCATGTGAACAGAGTCGTTACCTGCGATCCGCAGACATCACCCATGGCGACAAGAGCCGCACTTGGACTGCCCGGGCGCCCGTCGCCTGCTCTTGACGCCCCGTGTCTCCTCCGGCAGGCTGCAGCCCCCGCAGTACATGTACCAGTCACCGTACGTGTCGCAGAACCCGGCGCTGCTGGCCGGCCTCTCGGCCAGCGCGCTGAGCCCCAGCGCCGGCCAGCAGATGTACGACTACCAGCCGTACGCGGCCAGCTTCCAGGCAGCGGCCGCCGCCGCCGCCGCCGCCGACCCTTACTCGTCACAGGTGGCAGCAGGTACGGCCGTCGGAGACATGCGCGCTGTGGGAGGACAGGTGACGAGTGACGATGGGGGAGCGTGGTGGCGACAGTGTGGGAGGCCAAGTGACGAGTGACGGTGGGGGAGCGTGGGGGCGACAGCGTGGGAGGACAAGTGACGAGTGACGGTGGGGGAGCGTGGGGGCGACAGTGTGGGAGGACAAGTGACGAGTGACGGTGGGGGAGCATGGGGGCGACAGTGTGGGAGGCCAAGTGACGAGTGACGGTGGGGGAGCGTGGGGGCGACAGTGTGGGAGGACAAGTGACACAAATAGGGGCGAGGGTAGAAACCGGTTTGGGGCTATGGCTTTCCGCGCGTTATCATGAGTTGATGTGAAAGTTGTGTCGTAATGTGGAAAGCGGCAGCCCTGCTGAATGACGCCGTTCCTACACCTCCGCGAGTTGCGTGTGGTCCGTAAAGAGCCGAGTGCGTCTTCCTAGGATTGACATTGATGTAAGTTAATGTGGTGGGCGTTTCAAAGGTGACCATGAGCAGACCCGTTCCACCCGGCAAAAACGATTGTCTGCAACAGGCGTGCCCCTTTTTCGAATCGGTTGGGGTTCATTCGGTAAAGACGACCTAACCTACCCGAAAAGCAGACGTATCTCCTTATTTCGGCCAGTTATGTTCAGGATCTCAGTGTCAATATTAAAAAAACAGGCCTGCGGCACGCTTAACTTGGTTTTCATTTTTGGGCTGTGCCCCCTCCCTCCCCACCCCAACCCCCACGCCGATTGTAGAATCTTACGTGCGCCCTTATTCAACAGTATCTACATCAGGTTCGCAAATAATTGGTAGAAATCTGAGACAAACCGATTGCCTTTACGTGAAACTCCGGTTTTAGATGGGAAGCTGCGCAGACAGGCGGGTGTGACCAGCCACCGTTTACTTGAAAACTGCCACATATTTCAGTGCATTTTTTGTCTCAATCCGGGCGTCATTATTGCGTGAAAACTCTGCCAATTATTGCAGACTGGTCTAACATGGGTGTAGGTCAAGAAGGTATTTGGGAGGAATACTGCCCCCCCCCCCCGAAAGTTTACAGAGTGCCCCCCCCTGGCGTGCAGCGAAACGCCGCTCGTAACCAAACGAATTATTTGAATGCGCGGCATTGAATGCATGTAATTTCCCCGTTTGTTTGGAAGCTCTTGAGCAGGCCCACTTGACTGCGAAAACCGGCTTTGCCAATGACACCCGCGCTTAAGATCTGACTTGTGAGGCGTTTTGTTGTGGTATGCAGCAGGTCACCCGTGGCGGTGGCGGCTGCTTTAGTGTCAGGTTGCGTCACAAGTTTAACTACCTCGAGTCCCATCCATCCCTTCGCCGTCCACCACGGAAACGACACTCGCTGCGTCGCAGTGGCGTCGAGGCCATTCGGCACCGCGATTTGAGCGGTGGTGATATCCGTCCAACGCCGGCAGCCTGCACCGGGCATGCCTGGCCTCTCCGACCCCCGTCACCCCTGACGACCGCCATTAGCGCGTGCCACCGCCGCCGCCACTCGTGTATAGATTTAAGCACCGCCGCGCGCCACTAAAGCCGGCCTCCATTACTTACCGCCATGTAACTCGCCGGCCGTACTTAAAAACACATTGGGCGGCGACCGAGCGGCGCGTGGCCGTCAGCTTCCCGAGTCGGCCGCCAGGGGCGCTGCCAGCCGACGAGTGCTGGCCGCGACACAGATGTTGCTTTCAGCGGCGTTTTGAAGCTATCGATCGGGATAGGCGTAGGGCGAGGGGAGGGGAGGGGGGCTGTGGTCGGCCCTGCTTGACTGCCGAGAGGCCACTCGCCATTGATTGGGCCGGCTGCCCCGCAGAAGCGGCAGGAGCTTCAGGTGTGCTGACGACTCGGTTACACCTGTAATGACGGCTTTGTATGCATAATGTATGCACACCGATAATACTAATCAATTCTTTGAATTTATTTCCCTTCGTTTAAAGGCTGTGTGGCTTCGTGCGCAACATAATCTTCGGATGATTTTGCACTGCACAAACGATAATGCGCGCTGGGTTCGCAAAGTCACGGCTAGAAAAGAACCGGTCGCTGCTAAATTTGGGATCTTTGTGATGACGGGACGTGACGGGAAACTGCTGTGCCGTTCGACTGCTCGACTTGTGCACCTCGTCTTAAAGATGTCGCCAGTCGTCTCCCGTAAGCCGTCATCTTGTCCCTCGCATTCTAACGTGGCGCCCCCTGTTGCAGCGAACGCGTTTATGCCGCAGTACGCTGGGTACCCGGTGCCCGTGAGCTCGGCTCTGGGGGCGCAGCAGATCTCGCTGGCCAGCTCGCAGTACGCAGCGGCCGCCGCCGCCGCCGCCGCCGCGCAGGAGGCGCGCATGCAGTGATGCCGGCCATCGCTAGAGGCGCTGGCATCGCCGCCGGCCGCGGCGGTCCGGCCGGCGCGGCGGGGGCAGCGTCGCGCGGCGCGCCTCAGGGCAGGTGCCCCGGACCCGCCAGCGCCGCCAGCAAGACATCGCCGACACAGGGCGGCTGCCCCGCACATGGCGGCGCAGTGCCCCGCGGCGGCGGGGGCTAGCGTTACCACGGCAACGGCCCAGTCGGCCGCTGGCCGCGGGACGAGTCATCCTCTAGTATAAGATTCCCCTCACAGATGTCGCCGCAGTGTCGGCAGCGTTTTGTTCGGCAACTCCGAAATTTCCATAGTCCTCTATTGTTGGTGGTGTAGGCGTTACCAATCCTGTTAATTGTTAACGGAGGTCGCGACTGTGGTCAGTTATACAAAATACCGAGGGGCGCGGCACGGTCAAAATAGGACATTTATTCCACTACTTTTTAGAGTCCAGTTTCTAAAGCCTTTGACTTCTCTTCATGTACCGATTCGCGCAGATGCTTTGCTTTTTAGCTTCTTTTTCTACATTGCTATCTGTATTTTTTAACTGTGATGTTGTGGAGGGGCCTTGGCCCCTACCACCTGACCTGCAAGGTCAAGGCCACTGCTGACCTCAAGCACACCGTCAGGGCAAACGGGGCGGACATTACAGCTTCCCCGCCAGGCATTGTTCATAATGTTGATATACACACACACATCTACGCGTATGTTACGTGCCAGGCGATGGCGGCGCGGGTACAGCGCATGCGCAGTGCAGCGATACCGCCGGAGGCAGCTCGGCCCGTCCGGAGTCGGGGCCTGCCTCGGCCACTGTTTAACGTTACCGATCATGTGTACTTGTTAGAGTAGGCAACTAGCGTTTAAGGCGGGCGACGCCGCGCGGCGTCCGGCGCGGCGGACGACGGCAGTCGGGCGCGCGCGAGAACGAATGGCTGGGACAACAGCAAGCGATGTACATAGTTGCACACACACACGGCGAGAGACGCGCGCCGGGACGCAGGCGGGCGTGCACCACGTTAGGCTAGACATGAGGGGTGGCGATGCGGCGCGGTCGGCACAGTCTTGGCCCGGCTCGCCGGACGTTCTAGTCAGGCCGACGGCGCCGCACGCGCCGCCGGCACCTAGAAGCCGCCTGCCGCTTGTTGACGCGACGAAACCGCTGCTCCAAACAGTGCCTTCGACAGCGTGGTGCCTTACAAGTGCCTGTTTTTACCGAGCGACTGCGGCCGTCGGCAGGCAGCGCTGTTTTCGCGTCCGGCGCGGTCAAAACACATTTCCCATTTCCAGCGCGCGCTGTTTTGAATATGTTTTCGGCCGGCGACGGTGCATTGATTCGACGCCGCCGGGCAATGCACGCCTGTTCGGCTCTCAAAGCTGCAATTACACGCCGTCTCCCATGAATAATAGAGCCGGTGGTCGGCTAGACCGGCGTCCGGAATCAGTGCGCGCCCATCGACCGCTCGAAGCTCAACAATATTTGTGCACTGTGCCACTTTGGCCGGCGATTGGCCGCCTCGTGCCCACTGTGCCACTTTGGCCGGCGATTGGCCGGCCGCTCGGCCGCCTCGTGCCCACTGCGCGCCGCGCGTGGGGCGTCTTTCACGCAGACACCGCCGGGGCAGCGAAGGAGGGGTGCCGCCGGGCGCGGCGGGTCGCGCCCGGCGCCGGCACCAGCCGCACGCCACACCTGTGTTCTGTTGCTCAATGCGAGACTGGCGCAGCTGTCTGGTGCAGGCGAGGCGAGGCGGGGCGTGCGGTGGCGCGGCGCCCGGCGGCGCTGACGCCTGCCGACCTTTGGCCTTTGTCCGGCGCCGGTGCAGCGCGGACCGTCCGGGAGGCCGCGCCGGTCTGGGCCGGTCCGGTGTCGGTCCGGTCGCCTCCGGTGTCCGTCGCTAAGTCCGGGCCCCCCAGGTCACGTGGGAGGGACGCCTGGGACTCGATATCGTTTATTGGGCGGCCCCCGGTGTCCGCTAGATAGGTGACTGGTTCAGTGTAAGCAGACAGACAGGTTTATGATCTGTGTAAAAATGTAGTAAATTAATAGGCATCAATAAACGGAGGAAAAAGCGTGTGTTTTCCCTGCCTTGACGGGCTATATGCGACAGCCGTCATGGCGTAGACGAGGCAGTGCGCTGCACGCAAGTGTGGTGAGGACGATGAGGAGACTGCAGTCATGAACAGCGCCTGGTGACTGTAGAACGTCAGCAGAACTCGAGCGCCATCAGGCTGGTGCCACGACAAGTGCGGACAGATGGTGGTCGGGCGGGGCGATGATGGGCCGTGGGCACTGCGGCGCCGGTAATGGCGGCGGCAAACGGCGCCCCAGAGCGTCACAGTGCGGCGTGAGTCACGCCGTGAGGGGGGGGGGGGGGGAATCGATCGACTGCGATCGATTTTGGCACTGGCTTTGGCAGCCGGACCAGAGCTGCATTCTCTCCCACAGGACCTGCGACGGTGAGAGCTGAGCAGCACGCACGGGGTGAGCAGGACGGCTAGGCGATGATGACGAAACGAATTAGAAGGGTCACAAGCAGTGAAACACAATGGGTCTGTTAAACATCAAATTATGTGTTTTTTCTAGATACCAATTCTTTTCTAGAATGTTTCCATCGCTAGAAATGTTCATTCTTAGCAAAGACGTATTCAACTGAGGAAGAACATGAAAAACAAGTACGTGATTTCACTATTCTGACAACAGCACTGCTAGCTTTGCGAGTAAGACAGTACGTCAAGCAATATATGGAAGCCGGTTGCATTGTCCACCCACAGCGCTTAAGCTAAGGCCAAAAAGTCGTCGAGCTCATGTTTGAAGAAGGACACGACTAACAAAACGATCGATAACCTATGAATCAGGACGGAATGTTGCAACTTTCCACGCAGTTCACACAAAATTGTCCTTTTGTTGGGGCCAATGCCCTCAGACGAGGCGTCGCATTGGAAAACGCAGATAGACAGACAACCTATACCTGCGCCAAATATCACGGACTGTTTTTGCTTCGCCCAGGACAGATCAGAAGGTGGAATTCTGAAATCGTCGTCAGATCTGTAGGTAAGTTTACGAAATCCAAGGTCGCTGCAGTTTTTCGATCATCAAAGCTGAGAATCGTTTGCAATTTTATGCGTGAAATTCCGGCAAGTAAAGCCTGGTCGAAGAATTTCACTTACCGGAGGCTTCCACTGCAAAATTTCGCTGAAAGATTCCGTTGCCAAGCTTCACGCTGTTCGCTCTCCGGAAAGTTATACGCACTCATGCGCGTTCCGTGGAAAATGCCCAAACCACCCGAACTATCCGGTAAGTTCCCAGACGGCTTCTAAGTACTAACGCCGTAAACGTCAACTCGGAAGACAAGGAAGGAGAGCTGAAATCTGCTTTTGTGGGACATTTCAGCTACCACTGTGAGTGCACATTTCGGTGAAAGATAAATGGAGGGATTCTAAACATAGACCCACATTCCTTTCCATTTCATTAGAGACGCAGGCTACAGCAGTACGGGAGTACCTTTATGGCAGGTAAATCCGCGACTAAGGGGCGGAAATGCTCATGTCTAACTTGCCGCCCAGCTCACGTTAACATACTTAAGTTAGGCTGCTGCACCGACATGACCTCGGTCTTTTCCATGCAGCATGATTACAATCCCCAATATCTGACCGTGCTGCGACAAAACTTCAAGGATTGCATGACTTATAACCGGGCCACCCTACACATCAAACCTGATCAAACGTAGTATATCTATATTCTACCACACTATTCTTGCGCCTTGTAGCATTAGTGGTATTACGGTCGTCACACCACGTCACATCGTCAATAAAGCTTTGGCGGCGGTGCTCGATAACCTGCGAGAGAATCTACAGTTCTACAGCTACAGTGCTCTACAGCTACAGTTCTATAGCGCCGGTTCGACCAATAATATCTCTCATTCATTATTTCCGCATGATTCCCGCGAGCTGTCGGCTGGCCCGTGGCCGACGATCGGCATGTTTCGTGTACTCTTCGAGGTCAGGGTTGAGCAGGGGCGGATTTTGAGCTGCGGGGGGGGGGGGGGGTGGACCTTTCCAGTAGGCCTCCTGAGCAAAATGGGTCTCTTTGCTGGGAGGAGGGGGGGGGGGGGCTCCTGGGCAGCGTCATATTTAACGGAGGGAGCGTAGAAGAGAGGCATAACGAGCATGTACCCCTGATATGATCAGTATTGGATGCATCAATATCCAAGTGGATAAATGTTGACAGTCAAAAACCCGGAACAGGGGCCTCTTAATTGATACAAGGGCATTTCCGACCCAGCAAAGGATCGTCCTGTCCAAACACAGAGCGCCCAGTTCCATAAAAGAGCCTTTTAATGCATAGAGGAGCCTCATAAATCCGGAACAGGATCCTTTCTATTCACGAATGTGCCTCCAAATCCTGCAAAGGACCTGGATACTCCAGAACAGGGTACCATTATTTTGAATAACGCCTGTTCATTCCAAAACAGGAGATTTTTATCCGGAGCAGCGCACTGGCCCACGGACGCATGAGCTTTGCCCCCCGGAAGCTAAGAATAACGGCCTCTTGATATATATATATATGGACAGAGCCTCCTTATTTAGAACGGGGGTTTCTTATTCCAAATGGCGGCATCTCGAGCCAATGAAGGGCCTTCTTTATACTAAACAGAGCCCCCTGGACCAGAAAACGGGCCTCTTGGTGCAGGAAATGGGCATCTGGGTGGGGGTGGGATTAGTGCTTCGTGAGTCAGTCATTGGTCCTTCCTTCACATGAGTTTAGGTAAGATATGTGTAATTACAACACCTCAGTTTTGATCAAAGGTATCTGTCAAAAGTTTAGGGGGCAAACACATACCACAGGCGGCTGGACGCCGCACCAGCGGTCTGTTGCATCAGTCAGTTCTGGAGATCGCAAGGCGATCCCGCTCTCTGTGATTGGTTAAGCCTGGTAGCTCCGCCCAACATACGATGTGGTATTCGTTTCTCATTGCTTAGTAATGACGCGATATTGCACAATTTTTCGTAACACGTGTTCATGGCTCGTTGCCGTTTGTAGGTAGTATACGAGGCGAATCGTTTGCTATCGTGCATACTCATAATGCTTACTTGATCTGAAGACACAATATTGCTGTTGATTGAGTGCGTGGACACTGGTGTGGAGTGATTGTTGGTGAGTGTGTACTACTCGCAAATAGAAGCTGTAACCTGGTATGATCTATCCTTGCCTAACTCAACAGGACCAACACGAGCGAGGCCGTCACTGGTCCTCACTATCACGCAAGCAGTTATAAATATGCTACAACGCGTGCTCGTAGCTCGCAAAGCAAGAAAGGATCTGCGGGGGGGGGGGGGGGCTATCCGCGCGCTCTTGCGCTACGAATAACTCCGATGCACAGGCAGTCCGGAGAGGTTAGGGTTATTGCATCCGCGCTTTGGATTGCAATGGAGCGTGAAAACGTGCATGGTGGGGACAAACTGGGGAAACAAGATCCTATTTTGGAAAATTAGGGGAACATATGGTTCTCCCGTAGTGGTGCACCCATACCCCTGCCGATGATCCTTTGTTCCAGGAGAGACCAAAGACATCGCGTTTGCGAAGAAAGGGCTGCGAGTTGGTTGCAACAACGATGCGTTGTAGACGAGAGACAATCTCTCATGCAACACTAAAATTCGACAAAAAAAATACCGGTACACTTACCGCACACACACAGAATACCCAAAACACTGAAAAATACAAGTGTCAGAGGTACAGCCATGGTGCAGATGTAAGATCACCCGCTGTAGTTGCGTATGAAAGCAGGACGGGTGTTGGAGCTGTGCCCCCTCTCCTGGACGGGGCGGTGGCCACGCTCTCCCTAAAGCCGAAGACCTCAAAACCTTTTGGCAGCTTACACGGCCGTAGGGGTTCTAAAACATCAAAGGATGGACTTCAAGGCATCATAATGGGATTTCGAGCTGAAAAAGCCATCGAATAAAAACAGAGTCCGTTTAGCCGCAAAGTGGGGGCCAGAACGGGCCCCAATTTGGAGCCCGCATGGACGAAGCCCTGGCTACACCACTGCCCAACCGCTGCCCGGATGGTTTTTCCGTGACGAGAGACAGCCGCGACAGCAGCATGTCACCATCCTATCCCCGTGATCCTGCTCGGAGGCGGCGGGAACCGTGACAGCTGATGAACGCAATGAGCGGACCGGAAATAGCGATGCAATGAATCCGCGGATTCACCAAACACGCTGGCGGTGAAGACCAGCTGCAGGTTCTCCTTTCGTGTCAACAACTAACAAACGATGGACGGACTCTGTCGGAATTCCAGCCCGGAATCCCGCACATCTCATGCCAGCTTGTTCATAAGTTGCAGTGATAACATGACGTGCTTGACGGAAAAACCGTTAAAATCTGAGTGATAGCATGATCTGTCCGTTATCTGCAGCATAGTATTACTGCTTCTGTTCATGACCCAGCGGCGGCTAGCGCAAAAATATTTTTAAAAAACATGCAGGCTGGAAGTGCGGTGATCCATCAACTTAACTGCCCTTTTTAGGTGTCTTACGCTGAATCGAGCTCATGAGACTATGAAAAACCGGCGAAGCCAACGAATTTTGACTTTTTTTCGGTTGTCGGTATGATTATCAGACTTGCCGAAGATCAGAGGTCAGAGGCCGTCATGCCCGCGGGCTACCGGCTGCCGACATTCGCAGACCATCTAAAAGCGTGAACATTCGGGGCAATGCTCAGCTTCTGTGTTCTCATATTTTTTCCAGGTGGTCGCAGACCTGCTTTAGAAAAGCCGCTCAGCAGTATCAGATCCGCCTGCTGACGCATGGCGACGGGCGACGCGCCAGGAGCCTCATTCGCCAATACGCCATCCGTTTTATTCGCAACACCATGAGATCCGCAAAACGTAAGCAGAGCAGCCCCTGCGAACATGATCATGCCAGGGACTCATGCCTAACCATTGATCACAGTTTGATCGCAGCTGCTCTGACGTCGCCCTGACAGATCAACCAACTAGCAGACGGGCCCGGGTACGCCGCAGTGTGCTGCTTGGCTGGGTAACACTGGCGGAGGAGACCTGTCAGACGCCAGC